AGCAACAGAAGACGGCCCAAGTGCTTTGGGCCCTGCACCCACATGGGAGACCCAGAAGGAGTTCCAGTTCTCCTGGCATTGACCTGGACTAGCCCCGGCTGCAGTAGCCATTTGCGGGCTGAACCAGCTAATGGAAGACTTTCTCTCTCTCTGTCACTCTGCTTTTCAAGTGAATAAACTAAATCTGAAAGAAAGAAAGGAGCAAACAAGCGAACTGAAAGAGTCCGCTGCATGTGGCTAGATGGAGACTTGCACTAAGGGCCTGAATTCAAGAAACTGGGATGCACAAAAGGTGCTTCAGAAAGTTCCTGCAGATCATTACGCAGCATTCCCACGCTGCACTGGCACACTGTACCCCAGTAAATACGTGTGACCTCATCAATCCAAAAATAAATAAATAACAAGGACAGTTCATGGAAAATGGAATCAAAAGGTAAGTGTATTTCGATGCAAACCAATTTTGAGATATATTTTCCTAATACACATTTTCCATGAACTTTTTGAACACCCATCCTTTGCATGGATTTCAAAATATTGTGCATCAAAATCAAGTTACCTTCTAATTCCACTGTCCATGAACTTTCTGATGTACTTTCAGATAGGAGACACAAAGAACTGGAGACATACCATCATTCATTAGTTGGATTTCGAGGCCAGTGACCCTATCTTATGCTTTCATTCTCCCACAACACGTAGAAACACACAATGCTAACATCAAGCCCACAATAAAAACCTTCTTGGTCTGAGCAGTTTACTCAACAACTGCAGACCCCCTGCCAGATACAATCCATCTGCGATAAAATACTTACTGCTAACTGTCTTGAAGAGTGCATCATTGCTTTTCTAGGATTTTAACTATGCGGAAAATATCTGAGTGTAGCCACGTATAATTAGTGAGATAGTCTCATTCTAATTACAGCAAAATATTTAACAAACTCTTGCATTTTTCCTCTTTTTGCTGCTAAATATTAGTATTGTTTTAGTTTAAGGGTTTTATTCACTTTTGCAAAAAATTCAGCCACCTCTGAATCAGGGTTAGTAAGAGAATGCCTAGAAAAGATATTTTCAGGAAAAAAATGTCTTCTATTAGAACAGAACAGGGTAACTCTTATAAGTATTACATTTTAGAGAGGAAACTGAGAATTCAGGTTGGGCTTTACGTTCAAAGCCACATATTAATTTGATCTTAAGTTTACATTCTCCATGATAGTAGGTCTATTTGAAGTACATGAGTGCTTTTTGTTAAAGTATGCACTGAGTTTTTTTTTTTTTAATCCTACATGTGAGATCAGCCAAGAAATGTCTCGTGGCATAGGAAGGCAGCACTCGATCCTAGGTCCCTTTTTCCAATTACCACTGCTATTTTGCAGACAGTAACAGCATTTAATTTAAAATGTCCTCTTTCTGAGCCAATTGCAGCTTGACTCCTTCCTGCAACGTATTTAGGCACACAGCCTTGTGTGGCCCACAAAGGCCCGTGAAAGCAGCCAAAGCGAGAGGGGGAGAAAGATGTTTTTCTTTGGTATGAAGCACCTGGCAGGCAAAGAGCATGTTCCTGTAAAGCCTCAGAAGCCTTCCCAGCTCTCCCCCGAGACTCCAACCGGACTCACTTTGATGTCCCTTTGAAAACCCTCACATGATTGCCGGCGCCACGGCTCACTAGGCTAATCCTCCGCCTTGCAGTACCGGCACACCGGGTTCTAGTCCCGGTCGGGGCGCCGGATTCTGTCCCGGTTGCTCCTCTTCCAGGCCAGCTCTCTGCTGTGGCCCGGGAGTGCAGTGGAGGATGGCCCAAGTACCTGGGTCCTGAACCCCATTGGGAGACCAGGATAAGTACCTGGCTCCTGCCATCGGATCAGCACGGTGCGCCAGCCGCAGCACACCGGCCACGGCGGCCATTGGAGGGTGAACCAACGGCAAAGGAAGACCTTTCTCTCTGTCTCTCTCTCACTGTCCACTCTGCCTGTCAAAAAAAAAAAAAAAAAAACAAAAAAAAAACCTCACATGTCTTCAGCATGTGTGCTTGGACTTACAGTGCACTGGGCTTTCCCACATTGTTTCTGGTGCTGTTGTTGAGTTCTTTATTTTTTTTTTTAACTTGAAAGGCAGCATTACAGAGAGGGAGAGACACACACACACAGAGAGAGAGAGAGAGATCTTCCATCTACAGGTTCATTCCCCAAATGCCGCAATAGCCCTGGCAAGGCCAAGCTGACAGCAGGAGCCTGGGACTGCAGCTGGGTCTCCTACATGAGTGACCAGCTTGGGCCATTTTCCACTGTTTTCTCAGGCACATCAACAGGCAGCTGGATCAGAACCTACGGCACCACAATGCTGGCTTTTGTTGTTGGTCTCTGTCCACCAAGTGAGAGAGACGGTTCCTTGACCAACATGGTAATCATGCAGAACTGACAAGTTCCAGTGTTGAGGAATTCTTGGAAATGAGCTACTTGCTATTCAGCAAATTTAGAATGCAGACACAAAGGAAAAATTATGGGGGAAAAAAAGAATTTTGCCACCTTCCTACCATTAGAACATGCACATCCTTAATCTAAAGGGTTCAAACGGAATCCAGGAAAGAAAGAACCATAGTGGCTTTAAAAGGGAGCTCATTAGATACAACACCCAAAGCACCAAAGAAAAAAAATAGAAAAATTGGACTTCACTAAAATTAAAATATTTTGTATTGCAAATAATAGCAAGAAGGTTAAAAAAAAAAAAAACAGCTTACAGAATGGGAGGAAATATCCACCAATCATTTATCTGTTAAGATACCTGTATCTAGAGCACATTCAGAACTCTTGTGACTCAATAAAAAGAAAATATTCCATTTGAAAAAGGAGTAAGGGTGAGCTGGTGCCACAGCTCACTAGGCTAATCCTCCGCCTAGCGGCGCCGGCACACCGGGTTCTAGTCCCACTCGGGGTGCTGGATTCTGTCCCGGTTGCCCCTCTTCCAGGCCAGCTCTCTGCTGTGGCCAGGGAGTGCAGTGGAGGATGGCCCAAGTCCTTGGGCCCTGCACCCCATGGGAGACCAGGAGAAGCACCTGGCTCCTGCCATCGGATCAGCGTGGCGTGCCGGCCGCAGCGGTCATTGGAGGGTGAACCAATGGCAAAAGGAAGACCTTTCACTCTGTCTCTCTCTCTCACTGTCCACTCTGCCTGAAAGAAAGAAAGAAATAAAGAAAGAAAGGAAGAAAGGAAGGAAGAAAGGAAGGAAGGAAGGAAGAAAGGAAGGAAGAAAGGAAGAAAGGAAGGAAGGAAGGAAGGAAGGAAGGAAGGAAGGAAGGAAGAAAAGAAAAAGGAATAAGGGTTTGAACAGACATTTCTCCAAAGAAGATACACAAATGGCTAAACAGCATATGAAAAGATGCTCGGCATCGTTCATCATGAGAGAAACTCAAATGAAAGCTATAGTGAGATGCTACTTTATATTCACTTAACTTGCTAATCAAAAATATAGATAATGCTCAGTGTCTGCTCTGAGGTGGAACAACTGACACTCACGCACACTGCTAGTGAGAACACAAAAGGGCACGGGCACTGGGGCAGGCAGGTGGGCAGTTCCTCAAAGGGGTGAGCAAAGAGCTCCCCCAGGGATCTAGAAATGCCAGGTACACACCCAAAACCCAGCCCATATGACAACTCACACATCAATGTCCACGAGAGCATGGTTTGTAATAGTCAGAAAGTGTAAAGAAACCAAATGCTTATCAGCTGGTAGGAGGGTAAGCAACATGTGATAAATCCAACAATGAAACATTATCTGTTCACAAAAAGAACCTGAATTAAACCTGAAAACACGCTAAGTGATAGAAGCCAGTCAGAAAAAGGCAACATTTTGTATTACTTCATTCATAAGAAATGCCCTCTCTAGGCAAACTGACAGAGATAAATCACATTAGTGGAGGGTGGTGGGACAGGGGGACGAGGGTGGGATTAACACATAATGGATACAGGGCTTTGTTTCAGAATGAGAAAAATCATCTACATTTGGTTGTGGTAATGGTTTAACAGCTCTATTGAACACTACTGACCTATATGCTTTAAGTGGGAGAACCACACGTGGTATGAACTGTACCACAATAAGACTGTTTAAGAAAGAGAGTGAGCTACAGTGTCCATCATAAACCCCTCCAACAGGATTTCATTGCCAGACGTTCTAGTCATTCCTCACTATCCCTCATAGGTCCCTCACAGCTGCACCACATTTTCTGTCTAAAAGGTAAAACAGATCTCATTTGCTGTCCCAAACACACCTGAATTTGTTCCTCATGGTCCTTGAATGTCCTATGACACGAGGCAGGACACCTACATGCTTGTCCACTCTGGAGGCCCTACCAGCCACCATGCCCATTCTTGTGGCCTTACATTGGCCACTCAATCTTTCTGGTAATTAATTTTCTTTAAAATTCCATTGGTCTTTCAAACCTCTATCAGAAATGGACCCCCGCAGGACTAGCCATCAATGGCACGTGACAACAGCCAACCTGAAGAACATCTGGGAAACCAGCAAAGACTTCTGGTTACATCTTAACACAAAACTTGGTTATCACATGAATGCAACCAAAGCTGTTTACCAACCAAAGAGGAATGCCCAGCGAACACCGGAAAAGAGGCATCAAAGCTCTGCCAGTCTTGGAAGTTGAGCTCAGAAACCCAGAAGAAGGCACAAAGGAGGTGTGACCTCCAGGGCTTGCCACACGGGCTGGAGGCAGGTTCTCCAATTTACCTCACATTGGGGAGATGGCTGGAAGCCCTGGTTCCTATTTCTTTTGATCTCCTCTGAAAAGGCCAGAGGAAACAAAAATGTAAAATCTCTAACCCCCTTCCATAAAATCTGTGACACAGCAGTGAAAGATAAATTCCTACTTTTGCTTTGCCTTTTTCAGATCTAAGACCTTAGGTCTAGGATCTCCCACACCCCAGCTTCTTCCACAGACACGCAGGACACAGACGCAGCAGTGGCCTGGGACTTACGCCTGTCCTTCACACCCCTACCTGCAGCAGATGACCGCTTTACACGACAGCGCCAGATCCAGGAAGCTCCTCCGGACTTCGAAGGACAGTGCATACTTCAGCGTGTGGCCGTCGATGATGAGGGCTACGTCGTTTTCCCTGCCCAACAGGCTGCCCAGGTCAGCGCAGTGCTGCGTGATGGCCGCCCTCGTTGCCTGAAAGACAGAATAGGGAGTCACATTTGCTGGTGCTTAGAATTTTTAAAAATTCAGAAGTTTGCTGAATTGAAAACATTGTGATGTGAAAGACACAGGGTTCATCTTCATACATTAGAATTCATTGGAATGCTGCCTAGGTCTGACTTATATGTGAAAACATCCTCATAGGGCAATCTATTTGATACAAAGGGACTTCAAAAAGTTCCTGGGAAAAAGATATTATGAAGAAAACTATGGGGGCTGGCGCTGTGGCGCAGTGGGTTAATGCCCTGGCCTGAGGCGCTGGCATCCCATGTGGGTGCTGGTTTGAGACCCGGCTGCTCCACTTCCCATCCAGCTCTCTGCTATGGCCTGGGGAAGTAGTAGAAGATGGCCCAAGTCCTTGGGCCCCTCCACCCACGTGGGAGACCTGGAAGAAGCTCCTGGCTCCTGGCTTCGGATCAGCAAAGCTCTGGACATTGCAGCCAACTGGGGAGTGAACCAGCTGATGGAACATCTCTCTCTCTCTCTCTCTGCCTCTCCTCTCTCTGTGTAACTCTGACTTTCAAAAAGATAAATAAAAATCTTAAAAAAAAAAAAAGAAAACTATACATGGATTTCAAAACTTTTTGCACCAAAATAAACTTATCTTTGAAAAAAATTTTATTTAATTTATTTGAAAGGCAGAGAGGCACACAGAGATCTTCTACCCACTGGTTCATTCCCCAGATGTTCACAACAGTCAGAGTTTGGCCAGGTCAAAGACAGGAACCCAAAATTCAATTCAGGTCTCCCATGTGGTTGGTAATACAGCCATCACCTGCGCCCTTTCAGGGTGTACATTGGCAGGAAGCTGCAATCGGCAGTGGATCAGAACTTGAACCCTACCACTTTGATAAGAATCTTAACCACTATGCCAAATGCTGTCATCATAAACTTATTTTTTTAATTCAGTTTCCCACGAATACTTTGAAGCACCCTCATATTTACAAGAACCCACTCTGGTAGGGCTCTGTGGCTGATCTGGAATATCCAAACCCTATCTGCTGGAACTTCAACTGCTGAGGTTCCAGTGACTGTGTCTCTCTCCTTCCACTGCATCCACTTTACTCTTGGTACCCTTAAAACAGGAAACGCTACATAAACAAAGGTGGTTTTAGGGGGAAAGATAGCCTTATTGGAACCGAATCACTAATACTAACATTTCTCAGTTTGTACAAGTTAATTCTTACAGGACTTGGGAGCCTGTTTTCTGCCAAGGGCCATTTGGATATTTGTTTTTTTGTTTTTTGTTTTTTTTTTTTAAGATTTATTTATTTATTTGAAAGTCAGAGTTACACAGAGAGAGGAGAGGCAGAGAGAGAGAGGTCTTTCATCTGCTGGTTCACTCCCCAATTGGCTGCAATGGCCAGACTCCGCCAATCTGAAGCCAGGAGCCAGGAGATTCTTCCAAGTTTCCCATGAGGGTGCAGGGGCTCAAGGACTTGGGCCATCTTCTACTGCTTTCCCAGGTCATAGCAGAGAGCTGGACTGGAAGTGGAGCAGCCAGGTCTTGAACCGGCGCCCGTAAGAGATGCTGGTGCTTCAGGCCAGGACGTTAACCCACTGTGCCACAGGGCCAGCCCCATGGATATTTGTAACATCATTCGCAGGCCATACAAAATTATCGATCAAAAAATTAGCCTGCTACAGATTTACTGAATTTTGAGTCCTGCCTGTGGTTGCCTTGGCAGGGCCAGACCAAAGGATTTCATGGACCTTATACAGCCCATGAGCCGGACATTCCCCACCCCAGTAAGAGCATCCAAAATATAGAGAAGACTATAAAAATAACACAAAAGATTAATTTCTATTCCAGCTGAGATCTTCAGATTGAACCTTTCTCTGCATGTATCATCAGGATAAGAAATTAAGCTGATCATTTTCACATTTCAGAAAATATCTAATCAAATTAAACTCCCAAAACATTACTACCAGCCTAAATAAGCACCATGCTATGAGCTCCTTCATCACATGGGATTAAACCACAGAATCATTCATCTTTAAGATGATGAAAAATGACGTTCTGATCATCCCGGTGAGTTTATGACCTTGAATAGCAAAACTGGCTCAGGTATAAGAATGCAACTTCAGGCTCATAAAATAAAATCTGGTTTGAGTTCATCAGGAAGCACAAAAGTCTGCTGAAATTATTGTCTGGATGATGGCCCTTTGGTTATTAAGTTACATTTACATGCAATTTATCATTTGATAACATAAATTATAGTCTTAAGGAAATAGGTGTAATGAAGAGGACTCTTCCCACCCTGAGTTAAGTGGAGGATCAGCTGCTGTTACAGATAGAGAAGCAGCTTCTGCCATTAACTGCTCAGTTTTCATGCTCAAAGAGACTCCTGTCATTATCAGAGAGATGTGATCCGCAGTTCTGTGCTGAGTCAGGTGGCCAGGGGTCTGGTTCCAACTGCTCACTTCTTACACTTCTGCCACCTTAGGCAAGACGCTGAGCCTGCTTAAACTGCTATTTTCTCATGTGTAAAATGGAGCTGGGAACCCTTCATTGCATTTTTGCTATGAACATAATGCAACAGCACAGCACTGAGCTTGGTATATGGTAAACTCATTCTCCTTCCTCTTAGTACGTAACCGTTAAGACTTTTCCATACCTAAGAAAACACACATTTCTTCCACTTGAGGCAGTGAATAAATGTCATTACTTGCTGCCTCCTAGGGTGCCCATTAGGAGGAAGAGAGCTAGTACCTGAATCAGGAACTCTGATATGGAATGTGGGTGTCTTCTCTGGGGTGTTCACTGTGGGAAACACCACCCCTGCGTTTATCTTCCCTATGAAATCAGCCTGTCTTTTAGAAGTTGAGGAGAGAGAAGAAAATTCCTCTATTCGGGTGATCCCAGCTTGCATGTGCTCTGCAGGGAGCTCACACAGGCCTCGGTAATTCTGGATGGTGTATCTGCCAGGGGTCCATGTGTGGAGGGCCCCTACAGTTTGAATTATGTCCCCAGTAACGCACAAGTCGGAAAACTGGTCCCTAGTGTGGCAGAATTGAGATGGTCATCCTCCCACGAAAGGATGGCTTCTGCTCCAGGGAGATGGTTCATTCTCACAGGAGGGAATTCTCACTCCACGTCTGGATGAATTACCTCAAGAGCAGGTTGTTAGGAAGCAAGGCTGCACCTCCTGTTCTGTTTCCTCTGCACAGGGTCCCTCCCCTCTGCTTTTCCCTTTGGCCAGGATGCAGAGGGAGGTCCTTATCAGATCCCACACCCTGACCTTGACCTCCCAACTTCCATAACAATGAACCAAAATTAACCTCTTTTCTTTGTAAATTATCCAGCCTCAGGCAGTCTATTACAGCAACAGAAAAGGGACCAGGACAAGGGAAGAGAAACCTAAGAAATATTTCACCAAAAGGATGGGGCATAGCACACAAATTCGGTTCCCAGGCAGCTGCAGCAGAGGCCTGGTACAACCCCAAGTCTTCTGCCCCTGCTGGCCTCCCCAGTGGCCCTTGGCCTGGATCCAAGGAAGAAAAAAGTCTGGAGGGGAAAAATTCCCGAGACATGGAAATCACAGCCTGGGGCTTTTTTCTTTGCTTTTCTTTTCAAAGAAGGCATGACGTGAGTGGGGACATAAAGAAAGTGGCATTAAGAGGGCACTTTCTCAGCCTGGCTGATTCTAGAGCGTGCATGAGGCCAGGCTGGATGGACACTGATGGCTCCTCCTCCTCAGCTGGAGGAGAGTGGGGAGGGTGCTGACCACCCATCCATGTTTGAGTCTCTAGGAAGACAAGCGGCAGGAGTGTCAACAGAAGGAAACGGTTCCTGAGATCTGTACAATAGCCCTGGCCCCTACCACCTCCTGACCCTTGTAGGGAAAGGACCCAAAAGGGAGCTGGAGCTTTAACAGCACAAGGGTGGGGAGAGGGCACAGAGGAAGACGTGGCCACTCTTCCTCCAGAGTGCATCACCACCTCATATGGCCTGGGAAACAGATCATCCAAGTTGAAATCTTGAAATTTAACCATGGCCTAAATGTTTAAGTCCCCCCCCCCCCCCCCCCCCCCGCCACACACACAATCTGCAAACACACTAATCTCCAGTATCAGGAGGTGAGGCCTTTGGAAGGTGAAGGTAATTGGGTCCTGAGAATAGAGAACTCATGATGGAATTGGTGCCCTTACATGAAACAAGAGAATGATCTCTCGATCTCTCTCTCTCTCTCTCTCTCAGTGTGAACATGACAACATCCTGGCTGGGCTGAACTGCAAACTGTAGCGATATCGTAGCCACCCATTCCACTTTCCAAGACAGCAGCAAACACTACTTGTTACACCACAGTAATTTAAGAAACTTTACATTTATAGTCTTTTTAAAAAAGATTTATTTATTCATTTGAAAGTCAGAGTTACACACAGAGAGAAGGAGAGGCAGAGAGAGAGAGAGAGAGGTCTTCCATCTGCTGGTTCACTCCCCACTTGGCTGCAAAGCCAGGAGCCAGGAACAACTTCTGGGTCTCCCATGTGGGTACAGGGGTCCAAGGACATGGGCCATCTTCCAGTACTTTCCCAGGCTATAGCAGAGAGCTGGATCGGAAGTGGAGCAGCTGGGACTCAAACTGGTGCCCATATGGGATGCCAGGCTTTACCTGCTATGCCACCGGCCCCACATTTATATTCTTTTGACCTTGTATTTCTGAACCATTGGTGAAGGGTCTTCTATATTAATAGTTTTCTCAAGGTAAAATGGGTTTAATTAAGCAGTTCTGTGAGTCAAGCTTATTATCCAGATGTAGTTACTGGAGTATATTATCAAGATGACCAACACACAAAATTAAGGATGAAATAAGGCAAACTTATGGGCAGATTCTGCATATCACCACCATTATACCTTAGCTTGCTTTGCTTCATTTTTGTGGTTGGCTACAATTACACTCATGTGTAAATGTGATGAGGGCAGAAATTCACTTCGCCACCCTCATGCTAACCCGCAACAAGTGCTCGAT